TTGCTTGTTTTGTTCATTTATTTATTCAACGACCAAGGATTTTATTGCCCGTCCAAACTTTTTAACGTGCACGGTTAATCGGCGGAATGCTCGTTCGATGCTGTTTATTTTTAACGCGAACCACAAATTGTTTTCGAATTACATGAGTGGGAAATCGGATTTTGGAAATTTTTTGATTTTTGGGGCTCGGAATTTGAGACTTTGAAAGATGATATTATGGAAGTATAGAAACTGTGGAAACAGTATAACGGCAATATACATAGAGGCAATATAGAGACAGTATAAAAATAGTATAATGGCAATATACATAGAGGCAATATAGAGACAGTATAAAAATAGTACAACGGCAATATACATAGAGGCAATATAGAGACGGTATAAAAATAGTACAACGGCAATATACATAGAGGCAATATACAAACTATATAAAATATAAAAAAAAGAAAAAATAGCAACAAAAAAATATAAAAACCCAAATGAAAACTTTAACAATTTAAAAATTGTTTAAACTGAAAATTCAGAAAACTGAGACCAAATAAAATAACTAAAAATGTTCCAAACGTTAACAAAACTTGTCAGAATATTCAGATAAATGAAAGAGAGAGACACAAGTGACAAAACAAAGTTTCCATTTAAAAACAGAAGAATGTTCAGAACAAGTCCATGCATAAACACTCGAGTTAACACTTTTTTTTCGATCGACTGCTTCTTCGATAGCTCGAACGATAGCCCGTTGAATCTGCGAACCAACATTTCACATCTACGAACCGTTTGCTCTATTCAACTCTATTGTATCGATCAATGGCTGCGTTACTCCTCTCACTTTCTACTTCAACCGGAAACAAAACGTTCCACTTGGAACGCGATTTATAGACATTCAATCTGGATGATTTCCGCCTCGTCGACCCAATGATCCAGACAGATATTTGAAATTTCTTTGATATTCCACACTTTTTCGGATCAGGCACGCGGAAACAATTGCGATGTGCAAAAGTAAGAGGGGAATCGGTGGATAGGTGTCTTTTTTATTTTATTTTGTTAATCTTGTAGTTGATACGTTGACATCTGTGAGGTTCCATATTGGATCAATTAGGTTAATTTATTAATTTGTCTATTCGTTAATTTTTCAATTTTTCGATTTTTCAATTTTGCAATTTTTCAATTTTTCAATTTTTCGATTTTTCAATTTTTCAATTTTTCAATTTTTCAATTTTTCAATTTTTCAATTTTTCAATTTTTCAATTTTTCAATTTTTCAATTTTTCAATTTTTCAATTTTTCAATTTTTCAATTTTTCAATTTTTCAATTTTTCAATTTTTCAATTTTTCAATTTTTCAATTTTTCAATTTTTCAATTTTTCAATTTTTCAATTTTTCAATTTTTCAATTTTTCAATTTTTCAATTTTTCAATTTTTCAATTTTTCAATTTTTCAATTTTTCAATTTTTCAATTTTTCAATTTTTCAATTTTTCAATTTTTCAATTTTTCAATTTTTCAATTTTTCAATTTTTCAATTTTTCAATTTTTCAATTTTTCAATTTTTCAATTTTTCAATTTTTCAATTTTTCAATTTTACAATTCTTCAACTCTTCAACTCTTCGAGTTTTCAACTTTCCAACTCTTCAACTCTTTAATTCCTCAGTTCCTCAATTCTTCAATTCCTCAATTTTTCAATTTTTCAATTTTTCAATTTTACAATTCTTTAACTCTTCAACTCTTCAACTCTTCAACTCTTCAAGTCTTCAAATCTTCAACTCTTCAACTCTTCAATTCTTCAATTCTTCAATTCTTCAATTCTTCAATTCTTCAACTCTTCAATTCCTCAATTCCTCAATTCTTCAATTTTTCAACTCCTCAACTCCTCAACTCCTCAACTCTTCAATTCTTCAACTCTTCAACTCTTCAACTCTTCAATTCTTCAATTATTCAATTTATTAATACTTGAATTCCTCGCCCCATCAATTTGTTACTTTTCAATTCTCAATTCATTACTCATTTGCATTTTTAACAAACCTAGTTTTCAATTCCTTCCTCTAAATTTCGTAGAATAAAACATCTTTATTTATCATTGACAAATTTTTCGAATGATATGCAGATTTAAAATGAATCGAACTATTTCCCTAGGGAATTATTTTATAACCAATGATGTTCTATTCTACTTCGAAATATATTTACGTCCAACAACAAATAACCATTTAACGAAGAGGCAACATATTTTTTCGAACGTAAAAACAGAAAATTCATTTCGGAAGCGAGGTCATACGGTTGGCGTTTCTTGAATCTAGCCACGTGATCGCTCGACCGGTTCTACCATTTTCCTATAATTGGCGGAAACCATGGGGAAGCGATTATCGTAACCGGGCATGGAAACGAAAATAGCCGAAAACCACGATTTTATCAGGGAACCGCGAAATCCCATTTAATCGGTTCGACCGTTTCGACCGCTTTCAATCGGTGTCCTTAATTGTAAACCGCAGCGGCTGCCGATCAAAATGCAATTTCAAACTTCAACGTCCATGTGTTTTTCTTGCTGCCGGAAATTTGATCCCTGTTTGATCACGTTGGTCGCGTGGAATTTCCGAACGAAGATACCGAAAAATGTCAACCGTACTCGGTAATAGACCACGTCCCAAAAAAGCAATAAAAGGTTGCGGCCTTCGAACGCAGTTTTTAAAATGTAATCGATTGAGAGAGACTTTTGAAAATGGCCGTTGAAAGAGACTGGTGGAATGGTTAAGATGGACAGATAATTAAATGAAATTTATTGCAATAGTTATAGTTTGATAAATAAATTTTCAAGTTCATTTTAGACATTTTTAAGTCAAGTTCTAAAAATTTCTGAATGCAACAATGTCACCATTCAGTGACATTTTTTATGAAATTTTTTAGCACTCGATGTGTCTGCTCAGATACAAACTTTCAGTTAAAACTTTCAATTAAAAAATTCAATTAAAAAATATTTATTTCGAGTTGTATGAAAGCGAATGAGTGTGTCACCAAGGATCATCAAATACACCCACTGCAGCACTTAGAATAAGCCAGCTAAAATCCAACGAAATTTCCTTTGACGATCTCATTAGCCCTCGTCAAGGAGGAACAATAGAGTTCAAGTAAGACGTTTCGTATAAAACGATCGCAACGAATTCGGCGACAAAGCCATTCAAGTTTCGTCCGTCGCCGAATTTAACGAGAAAAATGCGGTTTCGAATGAACCGGGAAGAAGAATTTCAAAGAGTCCCTTCCAGTCGTTGAGCAAGGAAAGGTTCTCGAAGGTTCACAAAGGCTGTCGGTAACTGCATTTGCTTCGACATTCTCGGTACAACCGGTAGCCTGTGCGGCATTAAGGCTTAAAGAGATAAGAGGATTTCAAGGGAGCGTTCACCGCTTCCTTCCTATCTTCCGCGTTCTTCGGCCACGTAGATGCGAAGAAACGCGCTCGAACAGCGTGACACGCGATTTCCTTCGGACTATTAAGAAGGATTACATATTCTGTAATTGAGTTATGGAGAATTAGACACGCGTTGGATATCTGTTCAACGGAATCGACGTGGTTTTCTCGAAGGGTTCAGAGAATTTGAGGTTGGGAAGTTTGAGGGTTGAGAATTTTTGAATTTGGGAAATTTAGTGTTCTGAAAATAGCAATTGGGGGTTTAGGAACTTGGGAATGTAGGGAACAATGATAAGAAACAGTGATATGTACTTATCACAAGTGGGTGATAGGGGTGGCATAGAGTGTAACGGGGTATCTCAAAATTTCTGTTATATTATTACAGGAAGTGGTTGGGTTGGCGATTCTGAACAACTTTTTCCTTTGCGAAAATTTTGCTTGAGGCACCGTTTTCGAGTTATTAGCGAAAAACACTGACTAATCAGAGCGCGCGTAGACTGGGCGCGCGACAGTATGCGCAGTAGCGTGCGCGCAGCATGCGTAGTAGCGTGCGCAATAGCCTAAAAAATGGACCCAATACCTTCCCAACAAAAAAAGTTATTCAAAAACGCTCCACCTACCACTTTTCGACTCTTACAATAATTATAAAACACCCTACATTTTGATAATTTTTTAACATAATAAAAAATGACTATAAATAAATAAATATGTTTTCACACAATAAACGTAATATAATAATTGTGACGCATCAATTTTTTTCATTTCCTAATGACACTATCAATTACACGTTAAAATTGAAGGTCGTGAAATCGTGATTAATCATAAACCAGTCGAGCCGCGGAATTTTACTTCGTCGAGTAATTAATTATCGGCTTCGATAATTAGAACGAGCCGATGATGATGCGAATATTTGGCGAACGTCGAAACAGTCTCCTGGTGATAAAAACCGTGAAGCTGTTAATTAAAATTGATTACAGAATCTCATATGGTAAAAGATTTTGTGGAATTCTCGTTTAACCGAAGTGGCGTATTTATCAAAGGATTAATTATAAAATGTGGTAATTACGTAACGTCTTTAGTAATGGATGAGCAATTTAACGAGATGCCGAAAGTGAAAAAGAAGATGAGGGTTTTTGAAAGGAATGCATATTATGATACAAAATTGTTAATAGGGAATTTTAATTACAGTTAGCAGATTTTTGAAACGTTTTGTATAATATTATTATTGTTCACTGTACATGTATGGTTTAGTTTAGGTTAGTTTGGTTTAATGGCGATCCATTACAAAGATGGCGGTCTCCATTACAAAGATGGCAGCGTCACCCAGAAGAACACGTCACAGTATGACAAGGAGTTGATCTCATTTACTCAATAGTTTTTCAAATTTATTTATTTGTGAAAAGAAAAGGTAGGTATTCTACTTCAACATAGTCATCTACTAGTTCTATTTACACCTTACATTTCTATATATACTTTAGTTTAGTTCAAGTTAGTTTAGGTTAGTTTAATTTAATGGCGATCCATTACAAAGATGGCGGCGTCACCCAGAAAAACGCGCCAATTTCAACGAATGCAATCAGCAATTACATAAATCACGCAAAACACAAGATAAATCATGATTGACAAAAAATGTCAACAGAGTTGTCTCTTCAGAGACAAACCAGTAACTCCGCGTTTAAATCGTACATGTTTAGTGCAAACTCACCGGTTTCAGCCGCAGCTTGAAGCAGCATTTGTTGATGGTGATGTTGCCTGGTCGAAGATCTGTGATGGTGCACGCTATTCAGGACGATGTTACTGGATGTCCTGCTAAGTGCCTTCCTCTGCCTGACCGCTTCCTTGTAGATCTTACAGTACATCACTATCATCACCAAGCCGGGGATCCAAAAGGAAACACACGAGCTGATCACAGCGTAAGGTCGATTTACCACAAAGGAACACACCTGAAATAGGAACCTCTGCTTTATTCTTTGCTTTATGTATTTGTATACTGTATTTTTATGTGACATAGGTGATTCTAACAGTATTCTGTTTACTATTTTTGGGATAGGGGTAATTTAAATAATATAGGTTAAGGATTATAGGTGATGGATTATAGATTAAGGATTATAGGTTAGGGATTATAGGTGAGGTGTGTTTTTTTAGGAGAGAAGCCTGTGTATTTTGATTTTGGAGGATTTATGATGAGATGGACTGTGTGAGGTCTTGTTGATGGTTCTTTTAAATGGTTGGATGATATGGTACTTGTGGATGGTTCTTTCAACTGGTTGGATGATATGATCCTTGTGGATGGTTCTTTCAACTAGTTGGATGATATGATCCTTGTGGATGGTTCTTTCAACTGCTTATCAACTCAGGAGTGTCCATATTATGTCAGTAATTGGTAGTAGCCTCAGATAGTGGAATTTTTACGTTTCTTGCTTTGCTATCCTTACATCCCCAAATCCTTGCATCCTTAAATCACCACATGCCCATATCCTTGCATCCTTAATTCTCCACATCCCCAAATCCTTGCATCCTTAATTCTCCACATCCCCAAATCCTTGCATCCCTAATTCTCCACATCCCCAAATTCTTGCATCCCTAATTCCCTACATCCCCCAATTCCTACATTCCCAAATTCCTACACCCCCAAATCCCTACATCCCCAAATCTCTACATACCCAAATCCACACACTCCCAAATTCTCACATCCCCAAATCCACACACCCCCAAATTCTTACATCCCCAAATCCACACACCCCCAAATTCTCACATCCCCAAATCCACACACCCTCAAATTCTCACATCCTCAAATCCTTGCACCCCCAAATTCTCACATCCCCAAATCCTTGCACCCCCAAATTCTTATATCCCCAAATCCTTACATCCCTAATTCTCCACATCCCCAAATCCTTGCATCCTCAAATTCCCACCTCCCCAAATTCTCCACATCCCCAAATCCTTGCATCCTCAAATTCCCACCTCACCAAATCCTTACATCCCTAATTCTCCACATCCCCAAATCCTTGCATCCCTAATTCTCCACCTCCCCAAATCCCTACATCCCCAAATCCCCACCTCCCCAAATTCCCACCTCCCCAAATCCTCTCACTCCAAAATCCCCACCTCCCCAAATCCCAAAATTGCCAGACCACCCTCCCTAAACCTTGAACTCCAACATAACCTAATTTCCTCTCCAAGCTTCCAAGACCTCACGAATAAAATCTACTGAAATTTTTCTGAAAGCATGTATCGATCACCCCACAATTAGACGAGGAACCCAGCTAAATTAATGACCGTTAGATAATAATTGCGTTACGTAAACAAACTGATTCATTAATTTAATGGAACGATCCCGGCACATCTTCTCAGAATAAAAACGACGGCCATGTGTCTTTGTCCCTTTCGTAACGGGGCTCGCCAGACAAATCCAATTTAAACGTATCTTCTTCAGTCGTTTCAAATAAAAATAAACCGGTCTGACAACGTCCAGTCGATATTCTATTTGCGGCTGGCATAATTAAAGGTTTGTTTCAATTTTCATTACGATTAAAACGTTCTCCGGTAACTACTTCTTTCATCAAACTGCACCTGATAGGAGTAAAAATATCTTCTCCATTACTTTAACAAGAAATTTGATAATGAAATCCACTCTGGTATTCTATTGGTAGTTACCGCATAAATTTCGTGCGTCAATAAATTGCACTTTTAAGCCACCGAAATGTGTTTTCGATATTACATTAATTTTGGTAATGGCTCTTCGGTCATGTTGCAAAGAAGTGATGTAAGCAAAAATTTTTCTTTGTGTGTCTACTTTAGTAAAATTTATGGAACAGAGCAAAAAAACGGAACAGCAGAAGTTTTGCAAGGTTAAAAAATTTTTGCGAAAATATACGATATCAGGAATTATTTGCAAAATAAAAATTTGCAAATAAAAAATTAAAATTTGTCGAACAGTGTTTATACTGTTATTTTATACTATTGCAAATGAAAATAATATGACATCATGGCACTCATATGCTATCGCTGAAGTATTTTTATATCAATTTTATATTTGTCCACGATGATTATTTTTAATTAAAGCTTGACTAACTCGAGCTCATTACACTGCAACTCTAATACGAGTTAAAAATACGATACATTGTTTCGAAATGAAGTTTACGTAAGCACCAGGAAAGGCTTCATCTCATTATACTGGAGGATTAATATGAATTCTGCATGCACGACACAGAGCCAGCTATCGTCGCAAAATGAAATTGGATTAAAAATCCTCGACGGTATCTCGAAAAAATCGACAACTTTTTTTTGGTAATCTAATACGTATATAACCTAACACATAATACATAACCTAACCTAATACATAATATATAACCTAACTTAATACATAATAGATAACCTAAGCAAAAATATAATACATAACCTAACCTCATACATAATACATTACCTAACCTAACACATAATACACAATCTAACCTAAAATATAATACAGAACCTAACCTAATACATAATACACAACCTAACTTAATACATAATACACAACCTAACCTAATACGTAATACATCACCTAACCTAACACATAATACATAATCTAACCTAAAATATAATACATAGTCTAACCTAACACATAATACATAACCTACTCCAACACATAATACATAACCTAACCTAACACATAATACATAACCTAACCTAATAAAGTATTAATACATAACTAACCTAACCATACTGCAAGCAATAGTAATCGTCCAAAGTGAAAACAGGTAACAATTGATCTTTAAATCGTCGAATTCAATTCTCCCGTGTTACCATTACTTCCGAATTTACAATGCGCCAGGACATCGTAGTGTTCCCATGATGCATCAGCCACTATGCATAACCAAATTAGCCAATCAAGGAAACAATAGTGCAAGTTACGTGGACCATACGAGGCACGTGATTGGTCGATTTACGCGTAACGCATGCGTATGCAAATTCCGAAAAGCCTTGCACAAATCCTCTTATCCCTGAGGAATTACTGTCGGTGCTCACAATTTCGTATGCAAGTCAGAATGCTTATTAAGTAGATGCGTTAGCATATCCAGGTGTTTGACGTCCTCAACGTTCGTTCACGTTACAATTCTCCGAATGTAAATCGTGCTGGAATTACCTCGAGCAGTGACATTGCAAGTAATGACGTGTGTGAAAATGATCACAGGTTTGTTAAAATGTAACTTAGATAAATTTAAGTATATGTTTAAATATTTTAGGTTAAATAACTAAGTCATATGTTTAAAAAATGGATTAGACATAGGAATATTGGCAAAGTATATGAACTTGATCTGCAACTTGTTCTACAATTTGTTAGGCTAATCAGCTATTAAGTTTAACCCCCTCTAGATTAATTCCTTCTTTGAATCTCTGTAGATTCATTTGTTCATCCTCAAACGTTGTTTCAATCTTTCACTACAAACTGTATCAATCTCACTAACTTCTGTAAGCTTTAATCTGCTTAGGAGTAACGGTACACTCTGACACTGTGCCAGTTGTATCACATATAACTGTGACTAAACACAGTTAGGAATCTGGGTAAAATATATAAACTTGATATATTTGAAACTTGTTAAGCTAATCAGCTATTAAGTTTAACCCCCTCTAGATTAATTCCTTCTCTGAATCTCTGTAGTTTCATTTGTTCATCCTCAAACGTTGTTTCAATCTTTCACTACAAACTGCATCAATCTCACCAACTTCAGGAGGCGTTAATCTGCTTATGAGTAACGGTACACTTTGACACTTTGTGCCAGTTTGTGAACGCAAAGAAAGAGCCTAACATTGAAGGTCTAATATGTAGTGAGTCTTAACATCTTACGCAAGTTTCTGATCCACTATTCTCACGTCTAACTGAACATCACTTGACTGATCCTAAAAGTCCATCAGCCTATCCACCAAATATCCATCAGGCTAAGTCCTAACCAACTCACCTCCGGATGCTTCACCATGTAGTCCAAATGATCCTGCGTGGTGTACCATCCCATGAAGATCGGTATGAAGCTGATGAGAGCCGGCAGAATCCACGCGCTGCCCAGCATGCATCCCACCGTGCCCTGCCTCATGATGACAGTGTACTCCAAAGGGCTGACAATGGCGTAGTACCTGTCCACGCTAATGCAACACAGATGTAGTATGGATGCCGTGGAGAAGTAAACGTCCAACGAGTTCCAAACATCGCACATGAACCGACCGAACAACCATTTGCCACCGGACAACTCGGCGGACGCGTTAAACGTCATCGCGCACATAGCCACCAAAAGATCGGCCGCCGCCAGGCTAACCACGTAACAATTCGTCACCACACGAAGTCTTCTGTGCCGACGTACGCTGGCGATCACCAGGGCGTTGCCGAGCACCGCCGTCGTGATGATGCTGCCCATGATGATGCCCTTGATCACCACCACGAACACGTTCACGTTCTCCGGCAGGTTCTCGACGGTCGGGTTCTCGACCGGGACAGAGGTCACGTTGTTGGCAGCTGTGCTGGACGAGGTGCTGGTGTTGCTGGAAGATGTCGGAGTCGGATCCACTCGGCTGGGGAGGCTTGTCGTCACCGCTGCCATTACGTTCAACATGGTGGAGGTATCGAATCCCCGGCTTTACTCTGTCATGGTCCTCTGATGACCATTTCTCTCGAGCTTTATTGTGTCTTTATTCGGGATACGCTGAGGACTTTGGACCCACAGGGTCCAAACTTTGAAAGCCTGCTCTGATGCGATTTCGATGCGGAATCCTTGAGCCATTTGCAACCATTCTTTCTATCGCCATTGTTGGACTGTTTGATGTGGAAGACGCCGGGCATCGAATGCTTGTCTTTGCCGTGAGATTTGTATTGCTCGAGGATTGGTCAATCAGATTAAACGAAAGCTATCGAGGTATTAGCCTAATCCCACTTGATTCAGCGCAGTACCTGTAATTCAGAGATACAGAACGATCGATAGATTAGAGGGACTTCTTACGGTCGGATACGGATTACTACTTTAGTCGTTTAACAGCTGTTTATTCTTAAAATTATAGCTTATACACATTTTTATTATAATAATCGATACAATAGGGTCATAAGCTTCCTATCTTGCTCATCAACTTGTTCGATCTTCAAGTTCAAGAAAAATTTGTTCATCAACGCTTTAGCTGATTTTCTAAAAACACAAACATGGAAATACTCAAGTACTTGAGTATCTTTTGCAAATATTCAATCTATGTAAATATTTTAACGTTTCAAATTTGAACACTTCTGACCTTTTAAACTTGAAAGAGACCTTCGGATTCAGAAGTCAAATATGAAAATTTGAAGATGCCTAAATTTCAGAGCTTGTCAACTCAGAATTGAATGCAACGACTTCCTGCAAACAATCGTAGATCCGGAAACGGAAACCTTACTATGGAAATGTGTACGCTAAAGACACTTTCCTTCCGACGTACTTCCTGCGACACATATCACGATGTATTCAAGAATACCTGCCTCCAAATATTAATCACCGAATTCCATATGCATGCCAACTAGCGGGATGATTAAAGGGACTGCATGCTGCATCGAATTTGCAGAGGCTGCACACGGCTTTCAGAAAATGGCGATATGTAAAACAGAAGGGGAGGTAATCTGCCTACTGCGGGCTGACCTTTCAAATGGAAACCGCAAGGTGTCCCATTCAAACACGTATACACCATTAATGCTGGAGTTTGTAGTCTTATAACACTTTCTGAATGGTTGGTACATAAAATTGTATTTAAATGAAGAAAATTGGAGAAGCATTTTGTAGTTTAGTGGAATAAGTAGTTAACTACTTTGTTAGTAATTATTTATTATTTGGAGTAATTATTATTTATTGTCTTTACAATAGTTGATTCATTGTTAGGTTAGGTTAGATTGTTTTTATTGTGTTCATTATTTAGAAATTCAAAATTTGCTTAATGAGATCATTTAAACAATTTCTGGATATATAAATGATCACATTCTCAAACTTTCTAAAGTCTGAGACTGCCATTTCAAATTCCTAACCTCAAAAATTAGAGTCAATCTCTAGAAGAGCTGTTCATCTTACACTTGTCATCATAAGTTGCCATCTTGAATTCCTAACCTCAAAAACTAGAGTCAATCTCTAGAAGAGCTGTTCAAGGTACACTTGTCATTATAAGTTGGCATCTTGAATTCCTAACCTCAAAAACTAGAATCAATCTCTAGAAGAGCTGTTCATCAGACACTTGTCATTATAAGTTGCCATCTTGAATACCTAACCTCAAAAACTAGAGTCAATCTCTGGAAGAGCTGTTCATCTTACACTTGTCATCATAAGTTGCCATCTTGAATTCCTAACCTCAAAAATTTCAGTCAATCTCTGGAAGAGCTGTTCATCATACACTTGTCATCATAAGTTACCATCTTGAATTCCTAACCTCAAAAACTAGAATCAATCTCTAGAAGAGCTGTTCATCAGACACTTGTCATTATAAGTTGCCATCTTGAATACCTAACCTCAAAAACTAGAGTCAATCTCTGGAAGAGCTGTTCATCATACACTTGTCATCATAAGTTACCATCTTGAATTCCTAACCTCAAAAGTTAGAATCTATCTCTAGAAGAGCTATCCACATACTCACCCCCATAAATTACCATCTTGAACTCCTAATCTCAAAAATTAGAATCTATAATATCTCCAAAAGACCTCATCATACATCTGTCATCATTAACTTTCATCTTGAATTCCTAACCTCAAAAATTAGAGTCTATAATATCTCCAAAAGATCTCCTCACACATCTGTCATCATAAATTTCCATTTCGAATTCCTAACCTCAAAAATTAAAATCCATCCCTAAAAGAGCTGTCCATCACACTTGTCACCACAAATAGCCATCTCCTAATCTCTATCCACCCTAATTGCCCTCATAACAATCCACACACCCATAACAATCCACCTACAACCACCTACCATCCCAAAGAAGCTATTTTCCATCTAAAAAGCTTATCTCTCATTCGATCCTCCAGATTGCATCTATCGCTCTATCACCGTTACTCCAATATCCCATTTCTCGGACAACCGAGAAAAAGTTTGTTCGCCATAGCTTAGAGTTAAAAAGTGATTCCGCTAAGATGGAGCTATTTGCAAGGAAGATTAGAGGAAGAGCCACGGAATTGGCCGACGATGAAAATACTTTCTTCGGGCGTTGTGGCGCTATGAAAACGACTGTGTCGCTGCATGTCAGCGTTTATAATGAAAGAGCGGCTGAATTCTGTGGCTGCCGCGTGTTCCTCAGGCCTTTAATTGCAACGTCGTGGCCACGGAATGGCGGCTGGAACCGCGTTAAAGCGGAAAAGGGGGTTAACAACATCTTTCAACGAATATTTAGAACCGCTGGATTGCGATTCCCCTGACGATGCGCCCCGGATAATTGGGTCTCTGATGGCCCGAGTTTAGATTGAACTTTCCGTTTCTGCGCGCGCTGTTTCTCTATACGCGTTGATTTTGAATATGCAATTCCTATGGCCACATTTTTCACGCTTCGTTTTAAATGTTAGAAACATTACTTTTTTTAATTTTAAATTATTCGATTTTAATAGTTTCGTTCTGGAAAATTGAAATCGGATTTTCAATTTTTGCGATTAATTCTGAGAAAATAATTTTTAGTATGTTTGTACTCATGCGTTGTTTTTTCAATGTTTATAAAATGAAAATGTTAATAGATTAAGATGATACAATTATTTAGGTGTTTATAATAATTTTTATAATAATGTACATAGTTAAAGATTGAACCTCTGCAACAAATTGACATAAAATAATTTTCTGTGCAATTTTAATCATTTTTGTAAAATTTGATGATATGTGAAGAAGTAATATATTCATCCTGAAAACTGACTTAAATTTTTCAATTAAGAACATCCTAAAAAATGAACACAAAAATTAATACAAATATAGTAATGTAATTCTGTAAACAGAAATTCGATGTTCAAGTAAAAATAAAACAATAAAGAATTTTTTTTCTGTGCAATCTTAATAATTTTTATAAAATTTGATAATATGTGAAGAAGTAATATATTCATCCTGAAAACTGACTCAAATTTTTCAATTAAAAACGTCTTAAAAAATGAACACAAAAATTAATACAAACATAGTTATGTAATTCTATAAACAGAAATTCGATGTTCAAGTAAAAATAAAACAATAAAGAATTTTTTTTCTGTGCAATCTTAATAATTTTTATAAAATTTGATAATATGTGAAGAAGTAATATATTCATCCTGAAAACTGACTCAAATTCTTCAGTTAAGAACGTCTTAAAAAATCAACACAAAAATTAATACAAACATAGTCATATAATTCTATAAACAGAAATTCGATGTTCAAGTAAAAATGAAACAATAAAGAATTTTTTTTCTGTGCAATCTTAATAATTTTTATAAAATTTGATAATATGTGAAGAAGTAATATATTCATCCTGAAAACTGACTTAAATTCTTCAATTAAGAACATTTTAAAAATGAACACAAAAATTAATACAAACATAGTAATGTAATTCTGTAAACAGAAATTCGATCTTCAAGTAAAAATGAAACAATAAAGAATTTTTTTTTTAAATTTCCGTCATCACAAAGGCAGAACAAAGCAAACAGCCCTCAATACACAAATAAACATCGCACACGCAATTTGCGGAAGTGCAACACTAAAATATTCGAAAGTTGCGGACGAAACACGAGCCCCCGAAACTTTTAATCGTTGCAAATCGTATAAATCGTAGAAAATCCAATCTCACGGACGACGGATTACCCCGAGAGGAAGGTGGGTGAATCTCAAGCGGAACTCGTCGCCCACACACTACGTGGACGTCAGAAAAGCATAGAATGTGTGTCAATCGATAGACGTTATTCGAAGTATAAAACACACACAGGATGAACGCGGAACAATTTCACCGGAGAACACTTTTACGACCATCTTGAAATGGTTCGCGGTATCGCCGTCAAACATCCACGCTTCCGGTTCACGCTTCTTCCGACCAATTTCCTCGCGGACCTCTGGCGAGCAAACTGAATTTCCAACGAGATTGTTTCGTTCGATTTGACGCTTCGTTCTTGGAATGATTCGGTGGTTTGTGGGTTTCAATTTTTGCGGGTACGTTATAGGAATTTGGAAACGTATTAGTACTTCGTTTGGTAACATTTGTAGTTGGTATTGGGTACTGGTAAAAATAGTGGGGAATGGGAGAAAATATTTTGAGATTTGTTTCAAGTAACAATTTTTATTTTTTTTTGTATGATTTTAGTGCGGCAATGTGTTAAGGTTTGATGACTGCATTTTATTTCTATGAACTTAGAAAACACTAGAGGAATAACTAGTGAACTACTGACAATTTTACATTTTTATTTTTAAAAAATAATAAAATAGTGTATGAAAGGTTTATGCAAAACATTCTTGTTATGTACAATTTTAAATATTAATAATTATGCAGATTAGTATTTGTACATTAATAGTTAAAATTGATAAACTGATGAGTTAGCAAGTTAAAATTGATAAATTGGTAAGTTGTCAACTTAAAATTGGTAAAACGATAAACTGATAAGTTAGTAAATAAGCTGACTAAAATTTTAAATATTAATAATTATGTAGCTTAGTAAATTTGTACATTAATAATTAAAATTGATAAACTGATAAGTTAACAAGTTAAAATTAATAAATTAGTAAATTGTCAACTTAAAATTGGTAAAATCGTAAACTGATAAGTTAACAAACTAAACTTGATAAAATAGTAAACTTATAAGTCAGCAAAAAATTGCCTAAAACTAAAAATTAAAAAATGAACCAACAAACAATAATTGACCCAACACCAAAACTTTCAACAACTCACTCCTCACCTCCCATATTTAAATAATTCTCCGCCTTAACAATTTTCCCTAAGAAAAAGAAAACTGAAACCTAAGATTGTCACGATATAACTACATTTTCCCCCGCACACAGCAGAGTTTATCCCAGATCCATTTTTTCCTGCTTCGAGAAAAGTAGGTTGGCCGAGTTTGGACGAAATGAACAAGGTGTTAATTAACATCGACCTAGCGAAATTCAGTTTCAATTTTACAGTATTCGAGGCAATTTTCTAGCAACGAAAGCGCCGTTCCATTTCAGCTGACCTTTAATTCCAAACGAAAATTCGCTCGCTAATATTTTCCTTGCGATCGAAACGAAGACAAAATGGAGTCTGTTGACTCTGTCATGGCTGACCGCGATCTTCGTTTCGATGGATCGTAAAATGCTCGCATTTACTTTTGTGGACTTAATAAATCAAATACGTTGGTTTATTAATTAGGAAATGTGGAGAGAAATGTTGCTACAATTTTTTCTGTGGGTTTTAACTTTGAAAGGTTTCGTATTTAAAAGCTGAAAAGGTACGATGAGATTGAAAATAATAAATGGAATACAATGGGAGCTTCGAGGATACATGAAACAATAATTAAGTTGAACCTAACCTCACCTGTTTTCGTTTTCAAAGAAATTTATACATTTTTTCTTTATAATCAAGAAAAGTTAAAGAACTTATTCAACAATTTTTTTAATATTAATTCTCTGTATTATGAAATTAATATTATTAAAAGTTGTGTTCATGAAAAGTTGTTGAAACAAAAAATCAAGCAATTCAACACATCAACAAGTTGGCAAATGAAATTCTCAGATAAATTTCTTCTTGTAAAAAATATCACTAAATATTTCATTAAAAAGTCGGTCAAATTTCTATTAAACTTTTTGAATTCGTTCTTGAAAATTTTGTATGAAATTGCAGTAAAAATATTTACAATAAAAGTTTGCAGTAAGTCTAAAAATTTCAGACGAAAAATTTGTCAGTGTCAATATAATTTTTGAACAAATTTATATTAATTAATACACACCAGATTTGTATATAAAGAATGTTGAAAAATGATTGTATTAAAAACAAAGTAAAAATAGCTAAAGTTGAAGTAAAAACAGTTTGATATAAAAGTTTCCATAGTCTCTAAAATAAATACAGTTAAATCCACAAAGGAATATAAAAGCGAGTTATATAAATAAGATAGAAATTCTTAATTTTTATAGCCAGAATTTAACACCTTCCATGATTCAAACGAGATCCGAATGTTCCGCGTTTCAAGGATTAAAAAGCCGAAAAATACGATCGTTCCATATTTTACACGGCTGCAGTGCGAAAAATTCCAAAAGGAATATCTCGTATTTCACATACGTTGGAGAGGAGGAATTCAAAAAATGAATGAACCGTGTTTTGCGCGCCTCATGGAACAAGAATCCGAAGAATGACTGTCCTATATTTCGTTTCTTTCAAAACATTGCAGATCGTTGCATAAAGAAATGTTAATAGATTCGCTTATCAGGAAAACCGCTATTTTAACAAACTTTAATTACCAAATTAAATTTGTGATATTTACAGCACGCTTTTAAATTATATGACAAATTTTGTTGGATGATCAACGAAATGTTGCGACGGGAAATTATTTATTTTGTCAGTTCAGAATTTTTGCTTTTCATTCGGAGTTGATATTAATTTTAAATAATTTCCGGTCTCTGGTTCAATATTTTTTATTAAAATTTTATTTCAGATTTTTTTGTTAAATATAGGGTGTGCTGAAATAAATTGAAATTATATTTTGGATTTGTCTGGTTATTTGGTTTGATGGAAACTAACAATAAAATTTAGAGAATGCAAAATTGATTAATATTATTTTTCTTATAAATTTTATATTTTTTTATTTTTATGTAAGTATTTTGTAACTAGAATTTTGTGTTTCTTCAATTTTATATTTTTTTATTTTGATGTACTTTGTAGTTATAATTTTGTGTTTCTTCAATTTTATATTTTTTTATTTTGATGTACTTTGTAGTTATAATTTTGTCTTTCTTCAATTTTATATTGTTTTTATTTTGATGTACTTTGTAGTTATAATTTTCTGTTTATTCAATTTTATATTTGTTTATTTCTATGTATTTTGTCATTAGAATTTTTTTCTTCAATTTTATACTTCTTTATTTTTATGTATTTTCCAACTAGAATTTTTGCGTCAACTCCCCCCTAAATCACCAAAAACGATCTAAATCAAACTCTTTATTGAATCCCATAAATACCATTCTTCCACGTCATAAATCCCTTAAACACCATTATCTCGTAAAAATAATCAACCCCTAAATACCTGAGACATCTGGTAACAGCGATTTATTGAGAGTGAAGAGTACCGATTTAAATTGATATGATCCTGCCATGAAAAATGCCCTATCACTTTCACCCTCCTTCATTTAACTTTCAAGAAATCTAACGTTCCATATTTCACATTGAAATCCCAGGATGGACCATACTCTTGTATTACTTTTGATATCTCGAATTATCGAAGAAAATCTGAGTCCGAATTTTTTGAAGAGTCACTCGAAACTCTCAAGTTCCTAAAATAAAATTGAAGTAGAATTTTTTATATGATCCAAGTTGACGTTTGGTACCAACATTCACCTATTATCTATCACCCTCTAAATACTCGAAACTCTCAAGTTCCTAAAATAAAATTAAAGTACAATTTTTTATATGATCCAAGTTCACGTTTGGTACCAACATTCACCTATCACCCTCTAAATACTCGAAACTCATCTCAAGTTCCTAAAGTAAAATTGTCATGATTCAAGTTCACATTTGCTACATTCACCTATCATCTATCATTCACCTATCACCTATCATTCACCTATCACCCTTCAATCTTCAGTCCTTCACAATTTCTTATGCACCTCCTCAAAAAAGCCTTCACTTCACCGGTAAAAGTTCCCACACCACCACATTTCACCTCGGTAAAAGTTTCTAAAGCCTCGGGCAACGTACTCTAAAACTGACCTTCCTGGGCCACCCTTCGAAGAGACCCTGATCTTTCAAGGCCCAGTCCGACGGTTCTATCCTCCTGCAAACCTGTTCGATCTCGAAAACTATTAACTTCTTCGCGCTGGCAGTCGACCGTGCGACAGTTAAAGCTTCGTGGCGTTAATAGAACGAGAGAAATGACCGGTGACGACACATTTTCATTCATCGTTTGAAGGCACACCGCGTAGAAACGCGTTCGCGGAAGCAGCCGCGTGACAGGCCGCTCGTTTCAGCGGGTCAGGGCGCACTGTCCGCTTCCGAAAGACACGGAGCGGTTCCAAGAGTCGCCGTGAAAGGCACCACCGTCGTCGAAAACAACCCTCCTCGGGAGGGCAGGTGCGATGCACCAAGTCGCTGGAGAAGTAGGGGTTTCTAAGTGTTGGAGGGGCGGTTATCGCGTTCGCAAGTGCAAGGTTAATTGCTGGATGCAAAGGGGATGATTTTTCTTTGCGATCAGTGATCTGGATTGATGGAATTTTTTGAGGAAATTTTTGGCTTATTGATGTTAAGGCTTTCGGGTGTTTTATTTTGGTTGTTATTTAAGGGTTGCAGGAAGTAGGAGTGTTGGAAGAAGTATTGCAGGAGAGGTTTATGAAAGAAAAAGGTAGAGAATGGGGATGTTTTTAGGAAATATGATTTAAGGGAGGGTTGTACAGAAATATAATGTAGGGAGGGTATGAAAATAAATATTGTATACGGGAAGAGGATGCATAAGGAAATACAGTAGAGGGTGAGATTTATACGTAAGAGAAAGTGGTATATGTGGAAAGAGTATGATGCACAGGAAAAAATTTTTATTTTCTGGTTACAGAAAAAAAAAAATGTCATTGAATGCAAATTTAATAATAATTGAAAGAATTCATAAATTTACTATAAAAATAAATCTTGTAAAATAATTTAACGATAACGAATTTAATGTGAATTTAATTAAATCGTAAGTTAGATAGTTACAGTAATAATATTCACAGAAACACAAGAGAAAGCGTAGTAATGTAAACACTATCAGTAATGTAAATGAAATTCGTAATGGAAATCGTTTATCGCAGATTTAACGCGTAACATTAATGGTATTAGTGTGACGTTCCATTATATTAACCAGTACACGACATAGCGTTAACGATAATTCTATCTAAATCCGAAGTAAATCGTCTATATAACGGGTTTGATTGAAATCAATTTACACAGAACGATTAACCTTCTCTCTGACTGTGAAACGAGCTGCATCTGTGGAACGTGTTATTGTATCACAGAAAACGATATCTTTCATCTTCATTAGTTAACCATGAGAAAACTGTTGAGCATCGAGTTGCATTAAATTTATATGAAGTTCGTTCAATCGATTTCAATTTCCTCGGTTTTATCGTTTTGTAGTGATGTATCGCTGAAAAAATTTTACCTCGGATATCGTTCGTTGCGAATCTTTATCAGAATTGATCGACACGATTCGTTAATACGCGGAATTTTGCCGTCATGTGGTTGTAAAACGTATTGAAATATTAATTATGAAAGATGCCATTTGATTTTTGTAATTAATTGCAATTACTGATCAAATCACTGATGTGATTTTTGAGAGATGTCTTTCACTAATCAACATTCGAATTTTTGCTTACTAACGCGTAGTAATGCAATGCGTGGTAATTCTATGTAGTAATGCAACGTGTGGTAATCCAACGCGCAGTAATCCAACGCGTAGTAATGCAACGCATGGTAATTCTACGCGTACTAATGCAACGTGTGGTAATCCAATGCGTAGTAATCCAACGCGCAGTAATCCAACGCGTAGTAATGCAACGCATGGTAATTCTACGCGTACTAATGCAACGTGTGGTAATCCAATGCGTAGTAATCCAACGCGCAGTAATCCAACGCGTAGTAATGCAACGCATGGTAATTCTACGCGTACTAATGCAACGTGTGGTAATCCAATGCGTAGTAATCCAACGCGCAGTAATCCAACGCGTAGTAATGCAACGCATGGTAATTCTACGCGTACTAATGCAACGTGTGGTAATCCAATGCGTAGTAATCCAACGCGCAGTAATCCAACGCGTAGTAATGCAACGCATGGTAATTCTACGCGTACTAATGCAACGTGTGGTAATCCAATGCGTAGTAATCCAACGCGCAGTAATCCAACGCGTAGTAATGCAACGCATGGTAATTCTACGCGTACTAATGCAACGTGTGGTAATCCAATGCGTAGTAATCCAACGCGCCGTAGTAATACAACGCGTGGTAATTCTACGCGTAGGAATCTAACGCGTGGAGATCTAACGCGTAGTTAACCAACGCGTAGTAATGCAACGCGTGGTAATTCTACGCGTACTAATGCAACGTGTGGTAATC